ACCCCTCCTTTTCTTCTCCCTCTTCCAATGCCTCACACCCCCCAAATCTTCTCTTTGTCCCGATCCTGAAATCAGATGCCTCAATCCCTTTCAGTACTCCTCGTAACTCCCATCTTTACTCCAACTCCACTTGGTTCCCTTCAGTTTGGACCCTATAATTAGCTTGTTAAAAACTCTTGGGATCCTTATACTTCTACTATTCAATCCACAACCTGGGGCATATGTCCACCCTCACCACTCCCGAGATGCTGAACAGTGAGAGAGGAACAAGAAAGATTGGGCCCTCTATGAATTAAGGCCACATCCCCCAGGCCCTCCCATGTTGCATGTCAATCTATTTATTGATCTTTGATTGCCTCACTAAACCCTTTACTCTCTCCTCAAGCCTCTGATCCCCGTCTTCCAATGCCTTCTCTGTTAAGATGATCTCACTTCCTACTTCTAAGACTGATCCTAGGCTCTCTGATTTTCATCTCCTCCACCTCCAGACCCGTCCAGATCTTCCCCCACTCAGGCATCCTTTGGCCCAATTTCAGATGACACTTCTTGATAAGATGAATGAGGCTTTCACAATCTGGCCCTGTCTTTCCACCCTCACTCCCCACATTCTGAGACTCAGGTAAACTGGCCTGCCTTTCTCTCTCCACCAGGATGTTCTAAATTCTCTCTCTTTGACAGACATACGATTCAAGCACGATTTTGTCCACATGAAGCTTTTCCCAATCCCAGTTGTCAGAGCCCTCCCTCTCAGACTATCTTCTATTTAGCTGCTTTGTACATATTCACATTTATTAACGTTTTATTTATGCTGTACATGTCTTTGTTGTCTCCCTCATTCGAATGTAAGGTCCCACAAGGGATTAGTGATTTCTTTGCACCTGTATCCCCAGTGCCTAGCAGAGCGCCTAGCATCCGGCTTAATCAGAACGTGTGGGCTGGCTGCTGGATCCTATTCCATTGACTTCCATTCTCACTCTGTCTCACTTCAACAAGCTCTCCCCGTCAACCAGATCCTGTGGACTACCAAGACATCCTCAGGCCTCTCCTATCTTTAAGAAAACACTTGGCCCTACCCTTTCCTGGAAGAGCTTCCTGAGCCTTACCAAACTTGATGACTCCTTCCCACTCCTGGAGGTCCATGTGGGGACAAAGGAAACTTCCAGGAGCCTGGAAAGCCCTGCTCGGTAGAATATCAACTCCTGGACAAGAAACTAGAGACTCTAGAGACTTGGGTACCACTGAGAATTACAGAGCTATACAACTCTGTGGCCTCTCATCCAAGTGGTAACCAGAGGAATCCCCACTGCAGCACAGTCCAATAAGTGGTCACCCAGCCTCTGCCGGAAGAGCTCCCCAGGGAATGAGGGCTTGGAGCCCCAGTGAAAAACTTTTTTAATTGTGAGCAAATTTTTCTTGAAATCAAGCCTATCTCTGCCTCTTGAATTTTCATCCCCCTTTCCTGTTCCGCCCTTGGGGACCAAACAGAATAGGCCCAATTCTTTCCCAGGCCAATCTTTCACATACTTGATGCCAACCATCTCATATCCCATTTTCTTCTCCAAACTAAAATCTTCAGTTTCTTCAACTAGTCCTATGACATGGACTCATGGCCTTTCATCATTCTCCTTACAACTTAACAAACCAGGCTCTATGAAGCTTCCTCCTCAATATTACATGTTGTTCAGTTGTATCTGACTCTTTGTGCCATGTCCTTCTACAGCTCAATTTACAGATGAGGGAACTGAGGCAAATAGGGTTAAGTGACTTGTCCAGGGTCACACAGCTGGAAGCCAGATTTGAACTCAGGTAGATGAGCCTTTCTGATTTCAAACCCAGAGACTCTATCCACTGCTCCACCTAGCTACCCTTCAATATTACATCCCAACAATTAATTCCAAGCATAAAATCTCTAATGAGGAATAAACTATAACCCAAAGATTTTTCCATGGCCATTAGTCATAATCATTTTCTTTAGTGTGCTTCCTAAGGATTCAGCTGGTGCTGAATATTGTTCCAAATTTCATATTTATGGGGTTTTTCACCTGTATAAATTCTCTAATATTCAAAAAGAGGAAGAAATTTCCTCTAGCTGGAGGCTTTCCAATAGCCATTGCTTTTGTGTAATTTCTTTCCAAATGTGGTCTCTTATAACAATTCAAGCATGGCCAATAGCCTTTAGATTTCCTCACATTCTCAATGTTCAAGTTAATACTCAAGCATAATTGGTAGCATGAGACCTAGAACTGGAATATGGTTCTGGAATAAAACAGAGTTGAAGAACAAGAGTATTATTCTATTCTATAGTAAGAGACACTCATGAAGGGAAATCCAAAAACCAGAGGGGGAAGCATGGCAGAGGACATTTGAGATCAGCCAAGGAAAAATAGAAGCAATATTGCTGTAGCAGTATATTACAGACCACTTGGACAGAAGGCATTAGATGAAACTGGGAACAATATAGCATGACGTATTATTAGTGGGAGAACTGAATTATCTGGAAACCTGCTAGAGCTCACTATACTAAAAAGCAGACCCTTCCCTCTCCCTCCATCTTTATACCCAATTAGTCCCCAAGTCGTCTTATTGATCCTATCTCTTTATCTTCTGGATCAATTCCCTTCTTCCCCGCTTATCACCTGCCCCGATTCAAGTTCTCATCATCTCTCACATGGACTATTATAAGAGCCTCCTAATTGGTTTCCTGACCTCCAGCCTTTCTTTCTTCACACCTTCATACAGCTGCCAAATTGATATTCCAAAACATAGACTTGACTAAAACGAAGTGATTCAAGCTGTAGGTCTACGATACTGTGACCTCTCTGAACCTCGGCTTACCCATCTATATATGAAGAGGTTGGACTACATGGTCCCTGAGGCCCCTTCCAGTTCTGGATCTATGATCAAGTCATCCCCTTTCTCAAAAATCATTTAATGGCTCTTTACTGGTTCTAGAATAAAATGCAAAATACTAAGCATGACATCTATGACCTTCTATAATTTCGCTCTGACCAACTTTTGCAGTCTTATTGTATGCTCCTCCCGTCCACATCCTCTGTTCCAATAAATCAGCCAGACAGCATGACATGTGCCACCTTGGTGCCTTTGCACAAATGGTCTCCCATCCCCAGAATGTCCTCTCTCACCTCTGTCATATACAGGCTTAGCTTCTTCCAAAGCAGTGCAGGTCCTACCCCCTTGCTGGTGACTTCCCAAATGCCCAGTTATTAGCACTCTCTCCTCAAAATACTGTGTATGTATCTGCATACATATGTTGTATCTCTCCCCCACTCCCCACCCTAACTCATTAGAACACAAGCCCATGGAGCTGAGACTGTGTCCTTTTTTTCTTTTTATCCTCAGCATCTATCATAGTACCCTGCCCGTGGTTTTTTAATTGAAAAAGCACAGTATTTAACGTATCCTTTGCTTGTTTTAATGATAATTTAGGCTAAACTGAATCAAACCTTGCAAAATGAAATTTAATTGGGTCACCAACAGCCTCTAAAATTGCTAAATCAAATGGCCTTTTCTATCTTCATTTCCTTTCCCAGCTTTTGACAACACTGGCCACTTTCCTAGATATTTTCTCATCCATTAGCTTCAGTGACACTACTCTCTCTGGCTTCTCTTTCTGTTCTGACCACTCCCCAGTCTCCTTATCCCGTTCACCATCCCCTCCTAGGTCTTCTTTCCCTAACCTAAAATTCATCATCTCCCACAGGTTCAATGACAAAATGCACACAAGCAGCTTTAAACTTCCCCCTGATAGGCTGCACATCCAAGTGTCTGCCAGACATCTCTAACTGAAGGCCCACGACCAGGATTTCAAACTTGCACAAAGCTAAAATCATCACTTTTCTCCCAAATCTGCATCCCCTTTCCACAGCATAAGCAGTATTTCCATCCTCCCAGGCACCTAGGTTTGAAACCTGTCATTTTTGAGTCATCTTTTCCTTACCTATTACCCAACCTGTTGCCAAATCCTGTCAATACCTCCACAATTATCCTTCTCCTTTCTGATGCTGTCACTATCACAGTTGAGTAGGCAAGTAGCATTCACTCACCCAGATTACTGTAATAGCTTCCTAACTGGTCTACTTGTCTCCAGTATCTTCACTTTCCACTCCATTCTTCACAAAGCTCCCAATCATCTTACTCAGGTCACTATCTCTATCAAAACCATTCCATGTGTCCCTGTAGGTTCTAATACAAAATGCAAACACCACAGCCAAGCAAAGGTTTTCTATAATCTGGCTCTAACGACCTTTCTAGCCTTAGATTTCAGTGTGCCCTCTTCATGTACTCTAGTCTAGACCAATCTCCTGAACTTGACATACTATCCCCAAAAGGCACCCACTCACATGGAGGACACCTGGGGCTCTGAATGCAACCTTTCCTCACCTACGCCATACACAATTCTAGCCTTCTTTCAAGGTCAGCTCAGGCACCACTACCTATTCTCATGAAGCCTTCTCTGTACCCCTTCCCACCTCCCACCCCCAGCTACTATATCCCACAATAAACTCTCCTAGAGTATTCTGTCTGAAGCACTTTGCATTCACCATCACAAACTACCTTATAACATACTTAGTACATGCTGTATGTCCCTAAAAATGTTCCTAGGGCTACCTAAGGTCAGGGACTTTTTTTTTAATCTTTGAATCCCCCACCATCAAGCACAGTGTCTTGCTTACCTTGGGCATTTAAATGCTCATTGAGCATTCCGCAGGAAGCCTTCCCTCCCCCTCTTCCCTTGCTAGTACCTTCTCCTCTAAGGCCACCTTCCATCCACTCTGTATCGTGTATATTCCCATTTTGTATGTGTCTTCCCCATGAGAACATAAGTTCCTTAAGGACTGGGACAATTTTTGCTTTTTCTTTGTATCCCAAGTGTGTAGCACAGTGCTTGGCAAATAGTAGGCACATAATAAAAATGAAGAATTGATTGACTGAATGAATGAATGATGGAGATGCAGCATGTTATTAAGAAAAACTCGAGGTTCAACTTAAATTACTTTTATTTAAACATGATCTGAGACAGGACTGCTCACCCAAGAAACTGGATGGCTGTTACCAGACAGGTGTTTGTGGAGGGAGTCTTCCTGAGCAGAGCACCTCCAAGGGCCTGAATCTCACAGTTCCCACCCTCAACTGGGTGTGGCCCCTAAAATCGCAGCCAGAACATGCCACTGCGGATACGGTTGTAGTCAGTGAGTTGTTCGATGGGACCTGAGGGAATAGAGCCGTTAGTCAGCCTAAGGCACTGTCTGCAGAGACCCACCGAAGGGCTTGTCACAGCTCTGCACCCTTCCCTCCCCACCCAGCACAGGACACCTGGCCTCAGGGATGATCAACAGGCCTTGGAAGGAGTGAATGAGGCAGGCAAGCTGCCTGAAACGTGAGCCAAGAGGGAAGAGAATGTTCAACTGCAGGAGGCAACGAGCCTGTTCCTTCAAGCTCAGAGCTGGCACCACCCTGTCACCCCTGATACCTAACCATGACCTAATTCTCCATCCCTCAAAGACTCACAGTCCTTTGCCCCTACCCAAGAGCCTTTTCCCCTCTGCATGATACATCAACCTCAGGGCCTTTCTTCACCTCAGTTCAGTAGGAAAGACCAAAGATACCCCTTAAAAAGAACCTTGAGGGAAGGAAATTCACCACCTGAGCAGTGGAAGAGGGAAGGGAGCTGCTGGGGCAGGTTTTCTGATGGAACTCCCTCTGACTGACAAGCAAACATGTCACAGCAGCATCTCACCTGCTCTGAACAGGGAGTGGTCAGAGGTCCCTCCCTCCTCGACTTGAGGGCTCTATTCCTCTGCCCAAGGTGAAGAACCTCCCACCAAGAGGTGGCTTTTAGTCTCACAATGAGGGGGCTTTTAGTCCCACAACTTCCAACAAGATTGCCTTTCTCTCTGCTTCAATCTGCAGAGGCAGAAATGTGCCTCAGTCCAAACGACGGAAAAAAGAAAGGAAGTCATTAATCTGACTCTGAAAACTTGGCAAAAATTCAAAGGGGAAAAAAAAGTTAAGACAAATACCAGACTCCTCCTCTTTGTAAACCCACACCCAAGAGAAGGAAAGGAACCTCCTTAACAAAAAAATTCCTAGTTCCAGCCTCAGTCAACTGCCTGCCTCACCTGAGTGAAGATGACAGCCTGTAAACTACTCACCCACTGCAGCCACTGCGGGGCACTGGTCATACAGGTATTTGGAGCAAACTTTCCTTACAACACTGGCATCAATCTCCTAGAAGGAGCAAATGTCAGATGGGCAGGAAGTCAACTCTCTGAGACACATACAACAGGGGTTCACCCACACAACGACAAGGTTTCAAAATCAACAACACATCTGACCCTGAAATTGTGTTACTTTCTTTGCCAAGACATTTTCTTTTCTTCACAGTAAATACCTTGGAGAGATATAGTAGAGAACATTTTAAAATTACCTAATTAACTAATTGCTACCAAAAGAATTCCTGGTAAGTACATTCCTAATAAAAGTATAATTTAATCTGTCCAGATGAAGAAGATAGCGGAGATTACTACAAATGTGTTTCAACTCAGAGAGCAGAAGAGAGGCTAACCCGTCAATTGTGCTACCAATCTCCAGTCTACTCACCATATACTCCGTAGACACTTATGCCCGTACAAGTAACTACCCCCATGGACACCCTAAGCCTCCCACAACTACTCACTCCCTCTGACCTCTCTTACTGAACCCTCCACACTATCAATTACTCAGGTAAGGGGTCAGGAAGGAGTAACTCGTCTGGATTCCTGAGAACCCCAAGTTAGCTGCCATTAGACTTTTCTGAGTCCTGGGAAACCTCAAGGAAGGCTTGATTATAGGATATTATATAGAGGGAATATTAAAGTAGCTTCCTCACTTATAGCTGAAACTCTCTCTCAGCCCACGTATTCAAGCAATAGCAGCAGACTGGGAAATAAGGTAAAGTATGCAGCATGCTTCTCTGTTGAACTCCTAAAGAATTATGTCTGGTTCCAAAAAAAAAAAAAAGATGATTCAGCTGCTATGGGTCCCAGCAAATCTAGCTCAGAGTCAGAGCTGATTGAAGTCCAATGAACCACAGGAACAACGTGTTTCTCTGTCCCAGGAATAGGTGCCCACAAGGTTCCATGGGGAACCTCCCCAAATGACCACCTCAGGGAAGAGTAGAAGTAATCTCATCTAGGGTCATTGGAGTACCAAGCAAGAAGAAAGAACTGCTCATTCCTTCAATGACCTCAACTGAAGAGAAAAACAGGTAATTAGTAAACTGGGCCAATTTCTGAGGAAGGTCTAACTCAAGAGTTTTCTGGGCTCAGGTTCACAGGGTTCACTGCACAAAACCCACAGCCTTTTGAAGACTGGCCAAGACAGCATACCTCAGGCAGCCCGCAGCTCTTGGCAATAGGTCTTGTGCCCAGAGAGAGAACCAGGAATGCAAACTCCAAACTGCACAGGCCCTGGAATGCCTACACGTGCCTATTCTGTGCCCACTAATGCAATGGTGCCAATTTTACCTTTACCCTCATCCTGTTAGAGGCAAAGACTGGTCTCTTTCAGCCTGCTAGGCCAAATATCCATAGCCATAGAAATAAATAGAAGAAACAAACACCCCTCCCCAAAACAGATTTGTGATGCTGGAAAGAAATCTGGTCTTTAAAGTAGCCCACAGTCCTCCCAGCCCAGCCTTCATGTACCGATATCCGACTCTCCCATTCGGACAAAGGAATGCGGCGGCCATAGGTCAGAAGGCTACGTCCAATGTCTTCACACACAGGGGTGGTACCTGCAGAAAGAATTGTTTTAATGAAAGAGTGCCACTGTGAAAGCTCTTTCCATGCTTCTGGGTTCCAAATCAAACACTTTTACAAGGATGAGATGGATTTCAGTTAAAAAATGAAATTCCACATAAATCAGGCAGTGACTTGGCTAACACGATCTTCCCTGAATGAAGAAACCACTTAATATTTCAAAGGCAAGAACTGTCCTGGGAGCACAATGGAAGAGGAATTAGAGAATATGAGGTCCCATGTAAATGTTCCTAGAATTCAGGAGAACACAGTATAAAAGCACTGCCCCAGGATTTTCCTAAAGAAAAGCAACTACCTCTCCTCTATGTGCCTACTGAAGATGAAAAGGAAAGGTATGACCTGCTTTTCATTAAATGGGGCTAGTTCAATTTTCTATGGGTTTATTCAGATCAAGTAGTTCCAAAGAAAGGTTCTAGTTCTAAATGTGTAACCTGTGGCCACCACAGCTGCATGGCCCTGGAGGGAACAAGCAGTATGGTATAGCAAAGTGCTGGACCTGGAATCAGAGGGCCTAGATTTGAACTGGGGGTCTGCCACTTACCAGCTCTATGACCCCAGCCACGTCACTCAGTCTTTTGGGGCCTTAGCTTCCTCATCTGCAAAATGAGGTAGCTGGACTAGATGACCTCTACAGACCTTCCATGTTCTTACATCTACAATCTCATACAGTGTTTGTTCATTATGACCACACTGATGTAATTTCATCATATTGGAACTACTAGTACAGAACGAAACTTCTCCTTGATTCTTTTTCTACCCACAACTATATGTACTAAGGCTTAACTTCAATGCCTTGGATCTCCTCGGTCCTAGAGGAGACCGCAATATGAGTTAGCTTCCCTCCAATGGAATAAAGACTTTTTGCCTATAACCTCTACAAGCTCTTTGGTATCTTCAGGGTTAAAAGTACTTTCTTCACAATAACTTCATTACGTAGAAAAGTACTATGATCCATACTTTACATATCAAGAAAGTGAGACCTCATTAAGTAGGAAAGTACTATGATCCATACGTTACATATCAAGAAAGTGAGACTCAGAAATACCAACGGTCACACATCTAGTGCCAGAGCTCAAGCCCAGCTCTCTAGACTCCAGCACTCTTTTCATTATACTACACTTGGTAGACAGTTCACAAAATCCCATGACCAAAACATCACCACTACAGTGGTGACCAAACTTCTGAACAGTGAAAAGAATACAGGACTTGGGAGTCAGAGGGCCTCAGGTCAAAGCCCAGGCTGGCAACTGAAAACCAGAATGACCTTGGGTGAGCCACTTAAACCTCTGGGTTTTGAATTTGTCACTGATAAAAAGGAGGGGTTGGACTCGATAACTGCCAATGTTCCCTCCAGTTCTTAATCCATGACGCTATAACACTTAGCTATGACGGTCCTCAGGAAACAGACACAGTCTAGGACAAAGTCTGTGTCCTGCTGGTAGAGGCTTTAAGAAGCCAGAGTCACCACCGCACCATAACAAGGCACCAAAGAACTCTGGTGGAGGCTTCTTAATGCACACAAGGAAAACAGAAAGAGTCTACTAAGGAAGGGAAAGTCGGGTTGTGAATGCTGCTCTGAGGCCAGGCTAAAACACGGAAGAGACCTCAAGAGAACATCATTTCCATAGTGTCTCCTCTTGCCTCCTTCTCATCCCCCCAAGATTACCCAGATTCAGAAGCAGCAGCAACACTCCAGCTACCTTCTAGCAGACATACCATCCAGATGAGACACCAAAGCATTTCTCAGGATGTTTTTGCCCCTCATCACCTGACTTTCAGTGGCACTGGTACACAGACGCATCCTAGACAGGAAAGTTTATATCATTATTCGTATTCAACTGTGTATAGAATCTATGGCTTCCAATCAACCATATTAGCACCACTTTGAAGTTCTAGATGGAAGGACCTCTATCCCTGGCCTGAGACAGTGTGGTATACTAGAAAGAGCAGCAGCTTTGGAGTAAGAGAACTAAGTTCACACTTCACCCCTAGCTTGACCTTTGGCAAGTCATTTTAGCACCTGAAGCCTCAGTTTCCTCATATGTAAAATGGGTAGTGGAGAGGGTAAAGGGGAGGGATTCTATGGCTGAGAATTATGCAGAGCTTTAAAAAAGTCATCTGCAAAAACCTAACACCGAGGCAATGATCAACTTGTAGGCAGAGGCAACCCCCAGACACCCGGGTCCAATACCCTAGGGCCCACAGAAGCAGCCTCTTCTTAGAAGGCACTTACCACTGGCCCTGAAGGAAGAACACCATATCATCTATGTTCATCTTATCAGTGACAAAATGGATGCCAAACAGGCCGGTTTCTGAGTAGCAGATGTTGAAGGTCTGGAAACTCTGGCAGAGCTTGTTCGCCACAGAAACAGCTGCCAATGGACTCGACTGATGCTATAACCAAGTCAGATCGAGCATCACCTTAATGGCAGCCCGTTCTTTAACTAGAAGCCACACAGTCCAACCCTTTATGTTAGAACAGCAGAAACGACCCCCTGACAGCCAGAGCTCCTAGACAACGGGTGCTCACCACCCCCTGCCCCCTTCCCAGTGTCTGTAGGGAGGGTAGTCATAGCCTTTCCCGGTCTCCTGGGCTCCCTAATCCTCTTCTGTAGCACACCCAGCCAAAGGAATAGAAAAGTGTCATTTTTAGTCACTGAAACCTTAAAAAGGGTCTCACCAAGAATGCTCAAGTCAGCATAAAAGCAACAGGCACTCATGTTGGGCTTCCCTCCTCACCCTTCCCAAATCAGAAACTCTTCACACAGGAGTGCACTTCCTGAACAGTTCTCCACATCTTTCCTTCCTGAGGAGGCTTTCTTACTAGTTTTCCCACCCTCTGTGGCCCTGCCCACACCATCCGCCTCTCTTAGGGTTCCATGGTCCCAAGCATCACAAGGGCCTTTCTTAGATGGGAACTTTATCCTTCTATATGCTACGTTCTAAACCATAGCCCCAAACAAGTTTTGATTTTTAGTCAAATTCAACATAAACTCCATTTTGTATGAAAAGATTCAAAGGGAAAAGGGCCCAAGTATAGAAACAGCAACAGTAATTTCCCCTTAATATGGCACCTGTCCAGGAGCTGCTTTGCCCTCTCTCCCCCCATTCCAAATACACAGAAACCAAGCCAGGACTGCAGAAGAGAAGACCTCATACACAGGCCCTTCCTTGTGCCTCCCCACCCACCCCTCTCCCAAGTCCTTCATGGTACCCACTCTCTTGGGAGCCTCTGCCAAAAGCAAGGGCCTCGCAAACACACAGACAGTAGAGAATCTAGGTCCTTACCACACCCCCTCCATAGGTACAATCATAGTGACCAATGATAGAGTTGGCTACTGAGAGTGCAATGTTATCAGGGCTGGCCCAGCCTGGGCCCTCAACTGCAATAGCCACATGAGCTAGAGGCATAGCATCATCCCGGTGACGGATCTGAAACAGGAAGAAGAGATCAAAAGAAGATTCACACAGAGATGTTACTGCTCAAGGTCTCCAGAAAGCACATTCTAGAGTGATTATCTAACTGCTCTCTGTGATGGCCAGGCACACAGCTTTATATATTCATCCAACAAGCACTATGCTCTGTGCCAGACCTTATTAGGGAAATACAGAAGAGAAGACTAAGGCCCTGTTCCCAAGGAAGTCACAAGCAGGCTGGCAGCTGAAGGGTAAAGGAGAAGGAGATTAAAGGCCTACCTGCTTCGAATTCAATCTAGACCGGGGATCAGAAGACTTGGGGAAGAAATGAACTTAGATGGGGGGGAAGAATTACATCTTTATTCACCAATCTCTAACTGAAATTTAGGATTTCCTCCAATTATGGAAGTACACAACAAACGTTATTCTGAGAAATGTCCACCGGCTTTGCCAGACTGTCAGAGGAGTCCCATGATACAAAAAGGTTCAGAACCCTAGTATGGAAGGAAGATTATCCCATTAAACTGGCCAGAGGATGGGTCTTTGGTTGCAGTCTTGCCCAAGGTCACTATGGCTATTCACAAACATGACCCTCAGTAGCAAAGGCAAAGCAATGACAGCCTTGTGCTGCTGCAAAGTCTGTCTCTGATAAATATGAGCCTTTCAGTTTTCTTACTTAATCCACTATTTCTCAGTCTGAAGCTGCTTACAGAGGTCTCTTAAGGAGCTTATAAAAACCACCTTACTCTCTCCCTCTGGGACACAAGTTGAACGACAGGTCTCCCCTCCCCCAAATCCCATACCACCAACTGGCATTATTGGCCAAATTTGGACACAGGCTTGTCATAAGTGGTCTGGGTGAAAACAAATTTGGGGACATATTTTTTCAGTGCTTCAAAAGACCCATGATGTTCTTAAGCGTGGGTATTTATTTCCCCAAAACAGATCTCAATCCCTCCACGCCACAGTAAATGGCTTCATAATTACTGTGGTCAAAACAACTCATGCCCTTGTGACCAACTTTGAGGTGATAAGCCTTGACCACACTTAGGCAGACTAGTCCTTGGCTAATGTGGGCACATGTCCTGTGGCAAGGCCAAAACACAATTCAATTACGTGCTTATTACATTCAAGGCAGGTAGGTTTCAAGTGGATAGAGTACAGAGCATGAAGTCAGGAAGACTCTTCTTTCTGAGTTCAAATCTGACTTCAGACTCTCACTAGCTGTGTGACTCTGGGCAAGTCACCTAGCTTTGTTTGCCTTAGTTCCTTATCTGCAAGATAAGTTGGATAAGGAAATGGCAAACCACCCAGTATCTTTGCCAAGAATACCCCAATTGGGGTCACAAAGAATCGAACTGAAACGACTGAATAACATTCAAGACACAAGCTGGAGATACAAAGATGAAAAACAATACTGACACGGTAGGATTCCCTAGACTCTTCAAGAACACAAGGTCTGCTCAATGTACAAAGAGCCAATAAAGGAAAACTCCAGTGGCAGAGAACATACTAAATACTAAATGTATAAAATAATTACTTAAATATCCCCAAATCCTTTTCTGTATGACTGGGCAGCACCTGCTTGAAGAGCATACCTCACTGCCTGTGAAGCGGCAGGATGACAGGAGAGGTACAGCATCCTCAGTGTATGCTGTGGGGGCACTGCCGAAATGCTTCTGAGCCAGGTCCACCAGCTGCTTGTGCTCCACACCTGGTCAGGGAAGGCAGAAGATGGTAGCATGATGTCCTCAATGCCATGATCCTTCAATGACCTACATACCCAGACCTCCAGCCCTCAACCCAAGGGAGAGAGCTCAGTCAGAGTCACAGAGTCAGAGCCCCAGATAAAATATGGAAAAACAATGGCTGGAAAAACACAAAGTCCTCAGGTCAGGGAGGGCCACCTTCTGACACTAGAGCTGACAGAAGAACAAATCTGGAGAAAATATCAGGCCTGGATCCATTATGATAGGCTTTTCTGCCACAGAACTTGGGAGAGTCCAAGCCCCTCAGAGCACAAGCAAACTCCACTATACATGTGGTTAGGAGGCAGCTCCACGTACAACTGAAGAATCACTTCCTGAGCCCTCTTGCAAATCACCCTCAGCTAAACTACCTGGACACTGCTGTTCTGTAGGTGAACCAGAGAAAGGGCACAAACCAAGGCATGACAGAGAGAAAACAGAGAGGCTGGAAAATGGGTGCAGGCCATGACATGACTGGGGGTAAGGTGTAGCAGAGAGTGTGATACGGAGAAGAGAGGAGAAGAAAGGCAAAAGAGACAGCATAAAGGTGGAAGACTAGGACTAACAAGTTGAGATGGAAGAAACAGGAGACACAGGATGAGTGACCTCACAGCCCTTCCCTTTCTATCACCACACCCCCCGACCAACGCCCTCCAGCAGGCTCCAGATGGAACTGCCTCACCACCCTGGGTGGTGCCACAGATGCTTGTACATCTGTGCCCTTCTCCTGGCCCTCACCTTCTACCCAGCCCAGCTCCTGAGAAAAGGAAGAGCTCTGCTTCACACTTACCTCCTGCAGCAGCCAGCACCATTCGAGGGGGCTTGTAGTAAGTATCAATAAATTCAGCCAAGTCTTGCCTAGACAGTTTCCTGAAATGGACAATGACAAGTTCAGCATATGAGATCCATATAGACCTGGAGCTGGAAGTGACCTCAGAGACCATCCAGTGCAACTTCATCGCTTTACAGATGAGAAAACTGAGATTCAGGGAGGTTCAGTGACTTGGTCAAGGTCACACAAGTAATTTAGTACCAGAAGTGGAATTTGAACACAGATCTTTTGACTCTTAGAAAAACGTGCAGGAAGGTTTGGTTAAATATGGCTACACAGTATACTCTAGAACTAGAAACAGCACTAAAGTCGGGTTCAAAAGAAACCTGAGGGGCGGCTAGGTGGCACAGTAGATAGAACACCAGCCCTGGAGTCAGGAGGACCCGAGTTCAAATCCGACCTCAGATACATAACACTCACTAGCTGTGTGACTCTGGGCAAGTCACTTGACCCCTATTGCCTCACCAGAAAAAAAAAAAAGTATAATTCCAAAAGAAACCTGGATCAAATACCTGCTGGATGAAAGGGTCACATCACCTCCAGGAGCCTCAGCTTTCTCACTTATATTTTATTATTTCCCCCAATTACATGTTAAAACAATTTTTTAACAACTGGTGTTTTTTTTTTGTTTTTAAAGTTTTGAGTTCCAAATTCTATCCCTCCCCTTTCCCTGAGACAGTAAACAATCAGATATAGGTTATACACGTGCAATCATATGGAAACACTGGATAACTTTAAAGCCCGATATAAATGGTAGGGATGGCAAGAAGTTCATTATTACTATCATTATTATAAACTTGACCAGAGGCTGGCTAGGTAAAGAAAAAAATGGCACCCTCCTGCAGACTGAGGCTCCCTGCCCTCAGAGGGCTCTAGAAGAAAAAACCGAGCGCCACATGGCCCCAGCACATCCTCTCCCCCACCCACCCTTTCCCTGGCCTGGTCACCAGGGTCCAAACACTCTGGTCAACAAATAGCCAGCCACCAGTTCTACATGAGGTTTGATTACCAGGTAACAGCCAACAAACCAGAACTCATACATCCTCAGAGTAATCACAGAATCAAAATCTATCTGAGCCAAAGGGGACCTTAGGAGCATAGACTGCCAGTGGAGGTCACCTAGTCCAAGCCTAACATGTTCCAGATAAAACAAAGGTCCCCAAAAGGAAAGAGGCTTCCCTTTTAGAGGTCATACACTCATTCTAAGATTGATGCCACTGTATAATACATGTCTGGACTCCTCTGGGAACTGCCTTCAGAACTCAAAATTCATTTTGCACCCAAACCAATATCCCCCAGCTTTATTCACCAGACATGGCTCAGGATGACTTTAGCTATTTCCATATATCAAGTCCATCCTCAAATGCCTGAGATTTGTCCCTACTGAGGATGATCAAAAGAATATGCCAAAGGCACTGAAGAAAATTGCTCCAATGGCCTTGAGCCATGTTTCTGTCCAATCACAGCAGTTAGAATGAGTGCACCCCTCCCAAGGAGAACCCTCTGAAAGGCAGCATTCACTTAAATGTGTAAGTTTCTGTGGCTTCAGGCACATTTGCCATCTGTGCCAGGATAAGGTTCCATGTGCCATCTTCCACTGTCCCCACCACCCATGACAAAGTACAGAGTTCCCGCACACAGCTGGTGCTCCAGAAACATGACTGCCCCTTTGCAGTGAATCCTCACCTGGCATTCTCACTGGGTCCTTCCACAGCCTGGGCAAGGGGAGTGCCTTGATAAGCAGTAGCATGAAGATAATCAAATACCACATCCCGCCAGGAGCTGTCATTCTCCTGCATTTCTTGAAGAATCACATTTCGCTCCTTCTCAATCTGGGAGTCCTCCAAGCTGCAGTTCTGCACAATGTCACCCAAGATTTCAACAGCTAAAAGACACACATTATGTAGAAATAAGAGAAAAAGGTACATGTGGAAGCATTCCTATCCTAGAGGTCTTGCCAATCTGATGTTAGGTAACAAGTGAATGAGTTAGTGGTCTGGGACAGACAGACATGGCAGTAATCACTACACTGCCCACCTCCACCACCAACACAGACATATATGTGTTATTCTTGGCCAGAACAAGATGCTGTGGTCACCTATAAATAAGGATATTTCTTTGTTTTCTCTGGTATGAAATAGAAGATATCTGTCTATAACAATTTAACTCCTATCTCTAACAATTTAGTTATAACATATTAATCATATGTTATTATGGATGGAGACTCCTGAGGACAAAAAGGCATTTCAGTCAATAAAAGGGCACATGGCCCTTATAGCAACCCACCAATGTACTAGAGAAACAATCTGAAGGTAGGTAGTAAAGTCAAAGGCTGAGCAGAGATCCTTGGGAAAGATCACAGTTTGCAACTGAGGGCAGGCAAAAGGTTGGAGAGGGTCACGATGAAGTCACAACAACCATCAGGGCAGAAAGACTAAAGACCGGTTTAGACTTAGAAAACTCAATACTGCTTAGTTGTAATTTACAGATAACTCATAAATATTGCAAATTCTTGTACCAACAGCAGATAACACCATTCTTTTCTAATAAATATTCCTAGTCAGAAACTTTCTTTGTGGCTTATGTCTAGCCGGAGAAAAAGAAATAGCCCAGAACATACAATTTAAAGTGCTATCTATCTAGTCCAACCTCCTCATTTTACAGATGAGGAGATGAGTCCATGGTTGAGTGATTTACCTAAAAGGTCAGAGAGCTAGTAGCAGCACATCTACGATTAGAACCCAAATCCTCTGACCCCTGAGCCTTCTACCTTAGCACACTGAGAGGGCAAACGAGGTGGTAAATTATCACTTTGTTACATTATAAACACATGGGCCATTTTTTATCATGTATGTGTCTTATACCTCTACTAAACCGTATGAAGGTTTTGACCGTATTAACCGGACTTTGTATCTCTTCCAATCCCAAGGACAATGTTCTGGCTATAGTAAATCAATTCAATTCAAGCAGGAATTTAATAAACATCTGATGACTTAAATTAAATTTTGTGGGACAAAGGAAAGGAGGAAAGTGCTACGGGCAATCAATGTTGTTACAGGTTACCAATAGAAGAGAAGGGTAAAGAAGTTTGGGACAAGTTCTTCAGGCATAAAACAAGTTCCTCATTCAAATGCTGGACTGGACAAATGAAGGAAATTTAGTTAGGTTCCAAGAGGAAGCACCCACAGCCATGTGACACACAGACTCTTAAAGTGAGAAGGGATCTAAGAGGTCAGCTACCAACTCAAATCTGAAGCATGAATCCCTCCTCTTCCTCCCTCAACTCTCCTGGCAAGTGGTCACACCACCTCGGCTTCAACAACTGCACTTAACTAAAATTCACCACCTCCTTGGGCCACCCATTCTACTTTTAGAAAGCTGATTGTTAGACATAACACCTCCCACTTCCTGAAGGTCCCCTGCCAAAGCTACAGGTCTCTGGGATTCAACTCCTGCAAAACATCAATACACTAAACCAGTCACATAATAAGATATTATCATATGCAAATGAGATATGTTGCACTTCAAATTTCAAGCCTTAGATTTCATGCCACTTCACCTTCATCATTACATTTATTCAATGATCCCAAGCAACACTGAGATGCTGTTTGTAGATGTTCTCAAGTCACTTCATACAACACAGCATTTCATGTCTCTTCCGTCACACTCTCCTCTAAGGTAGTATTGTGGAAAGGAGGTGATCCTGAGTTCTCAAAGCACTTAGCACAGTGCCTGGCACACAGCAGACACATAATAAATCTTTACTGCTTGAGTAAAAGCCATGCTCAGGGAAGGGCAAATTCTGGCAGGTCCAACCAGGCTGGAGAGGATTATACCTAATGATGGACAGCATCTTTCACTGAAGGAGCAGCTAACTAAATGTGCACAGTTAACTGTGTAGAACAGGAGTGGGGAACCTGCAGCCTTGAGGCTACATGTGGCCCTCTAGGTCCTCAAGTGCAGCCCTTTGACTGAATCCAAACTTCACAGAAAAAATCCTCTAAATAAAAGGATTTGTCAAAAGGCTGCACCTAAGGACCTAGAGTGCCACATATGGACTCAAGGCTACAGATTCCCCACCCCTGGTGTAGAAGGTCAGCCACCAGGTGGTGAACTTTTCAGCCACAATCTCTCATCAAAAAGAAGCAAGAAGAATAAAACCTGCCTCTGACAAGAAAGAGTACCCACACCAACAATGCCACAGATTTGTCAAAGTGGATATATTATCAATCAGATCAAAAGCCACAGAACAGGAAATCTACACCCTATTTTGCTTGTATTTCCCCAGAGTACCAAAGACAGGAGTCCATACCTACTCAACCTTCTTCAATAAATGTCTGACTGATTTATTCAATTGATATTAGGAACTAAGCATGTCTTCCTGGCTCCAACAGTGTTCAAGGTCATAGGAGAAAATAAATCTGCTTTAGACTCCTTTCAGAGGATCATGAATTTAGATCTGAAGACACTTTAGTGGTCTAGAACAAGCCCTTCATTGAACAGACGAGGAAACTATAGCCCAAAGGGGTTAACTCACTCTCCCAAGTTCGTACAAATATTAAGTCTCAGAGGCCGGAGTCAAACGTACACCTGGGTTCTAACTCCAAGTCTAACATTCTTTGGACAATATCTCATTGCTCCCTATGGAGCCTTGCGAACTAGAGAGATCACAGGTTACAAATGAGTCTCCAAAAGGCCACTGTCAAGTTGGCCTCACTGGGTAAAAAACAAGCCACATCTCTTCCTCCAGTATCAGACTCAGAGAGCAAAGAAGGCTGCCTACCTTTAGGAAGGTCTTTACTCAGTGCTTTGATATAGTAGGCGGTGTGCTCCCGAGTGGTGTAAGCATTTAGATGGGCACCCATCCTTTCTACTTCTTCTTCCAATGTTTTCCCAGGACGCTTCTTTGTACCCTGGAAACAAACCAAAGGGGAAGAAGAAAAACCAAAGCATTTCAGACTGTACCGATTCAACAGCCAGAAGAGATATGAGAAATAAGGGCCCTCTGCGAGGCAGCTCAGAGTAAGCCATCTTCAAACTAACTTTTAAACATCAGCACTATCCCTTTTGTTCATAAAATACAGTAATACTACATATGGCAGAGTCTTAATCTGGGGTTCATGAACTTGTTTTTAAATATCAGGTAACTATTTTCAATGTAATTGGTTGTATTTTATAATCACATGTATTTTGTTTTATGTATTTAAAAACATTCTTCTGAGAAATCCACAGCCTGTACCAGACTGACAAAGAGCTAGGTGAAATGGGTGTTTCAATACATATTCTCGCTCCTCTCATAAACTGCAGGAAATCCATTCTTAAGCTTTAATGTGTAGTAAACAAGGGCAATAAGGGAAAGAGGAATACTATGCCAGATGTGGGCATCCAGTTATAGTATCAGTAGCAGAAAGGGGGGAAAGGAAATTAAAGCAAATTATATTTGATGCAGATGTCTAAAACTAGGGAGACAAAGAAGTTAAGAGGACTTGGTATCTTAAGCTGAAATTCAGTGATCCATCAGCAATGGTCAAGAGTAGTGAAAGCCCTAATGGCAAAACTTTCTGGAACATTTCCAAAATGGAACTGGAAAACGCAGATCTTGCCAGCTATGTCCTCCCCAGCAGAACTTCAGACTCTATCCCTAGAACCAAGCTAGGCTCTGAGAGGCCAGCTTATCAAGCTTAGACCTGCTGTTAGTCCTTCATCATTGGCTCTTAAATAAAGTGACATGATGTAATGTGAAGAGACACATACCCTCTAGAGAAGAGAATCAAGCAGAAACTGATGTCCTAAAAGCTGCAAAACTTAAGGGTCTCTTGGGTCTGTGGTTCTAGAGAACAGTCTCCTAACCCATTGATACCTTGAATGCCAAGTGTTCCACAAAGTAGCCAGCTCCATTGTTGTTTTCATTTTCATAGCGGCTGCCAACATCTATCCAAACTCCCACCTGGAAAAGAAAGAATACAGAACAGCACCAGAAGCTTCACTAAAGTCTGTGCAGTTATACACACATCTGTTCATATCATGGCCCTGCTCAAAACTCCAGTGAATAAAGTTTAAATGCTTTGCCTGGCATTTAAGATCCCCCACAAACTGGTATCACCCACCTCTTCAGCCCTATCCATCACTATGCCCCAACACACACTATTCATTTAGATCAAACTGTGCTGTACTCCGCTCCTGCAACACATCTGGTGCCTTCTAGCCGCCTGCCGTGGCTCACATTGCTCCCAATGCCCTGAATGGCCTTTCTCCTTCAATATACTGGGATCTCTACCCATCTTTAAAGCTCAACTTAAATCCCACCTCCTCTAGTATGCTTCCCATAATCTCCACATTTGGTAATGACCCTTTCCCCCTCAGACCTCACATAACCTTTATTTGTACCCTAGGAGAACCTGTCAAGATATTCAGTTATATATAATCTACTACAGAACTCAGGGTCTAGGTGGGCCTGATGACACATTACATATGTACTATCCTATACATCACATCCTCCTAGACCCTGAATTCTATGAGGACGGGAGTTGCACCAAGTAAATACTTAGCAAATTTTTGTCGAATGAGGTTAAACTCTATCAGGGTCTATACTTTGCATGAGATCCTTAGGCAGGTTAACTTACTTTTCATAAGTCTAGAATTGCAACTTACTCTTTATTTTAGGCAAATATCTCAATCTCTTTTGTGGTGCACTATAGGATAGATTACCACAAAAAGGCCTTTCACACATAGTAATTTCTCTAGTTGAGCCGCAAAGAACTGTAGGTAACCTAGCACAAAATCTTGCACAAATATTTACTGATGGATTGATAAAGGAAAATAGTCATCACTTTACACATTGTAGAATTTTTATCTCTCCAACAACTCTCAGGTAGATCACCTGATTTTATATTAACAACCTAGTAAGAACTATAGGATCGGCACTGGTGTCCTCATTTTACAGATGAGAAAAGTTAGGTGATTTACCCAAGATGATACAATGAGTCTACAGCAAAGCTAGTACTAGAATTCAGACTTTACTCTAGACACGAGGAGTACGCTGTTGGCATTCTACCCCTTTAGTACTACAGGGCAATACTAGGTCAGATACTGGCCATCAGTGGTAAAGTACAGAGGTCCTACAGATTCCTACTCATAAACCAACCGGCTGACCCATTCCTAGAGTGGGGTTACAGGATTTCCTCCCTAACAGTGTAAGCAACGACCCAACCTTCTACAAACACATTTCAAACTTACTGTACAGGTATGTTGGTTGGAGTCCTCAGAAGCCACCCGAAGCCCACTGTCCAGCATGGTGACTTGGGTTGCTGGAATGTTCTGGAGAGTTTGAACAAAGGTAGCTGCACTACGAGCTGTGGGCACCTTTAATAGAGAAGGCTGAAAAAATAATGTTGTCATTAGAACAGCTCCAAATCTGGCCATGTTGACCTCAGTCATTCTTGAACCAATAAACACAACCCCTCACCCACTTTCTCTTCCCTTCTGACACCAAAACCTAGGAACGATTTGATATCATATTTTTCTATCTCTCCCATAATGAATGAATTTGTGAAGACAAGGCCTTCATCCTTTAACTGCCTCTCCCCTGAGCACTAAGCACAATAATTTGTATCAAAATTTGACTGAATGCCTCTCCCATGGCTCAGCACCCCAAAGGAGTCTCTAGGAAGTCCATTCAGGACAGTCTTGGCTTGAGTACAACAGACTACAGAGAAAAAGAGGAAAGGGGACACATAATGATTTTCACAAAAACAATGCAAGAAGTCAGAACACTAGAAACTCACTACAGACGATCCTCAATTTGGTTTCGTGATATGGGACAGAGAAGAAGGAGATCAAAACCCAGAGGTAATTCAAAATAATTCATTGTAGCCCTCCTCCTTTTCTACCTTAATTTTAACAGAGCAGCAGCTCTGTTAACAAGTGACAAAACTAAGAGGCTCCAAGCAACTATTCTCATAAAGATAGCATGATGCATTATTTTAGGCCTCAGCAATTCAAACTGGCCACAAGTCCACTCAAGAAGGAGGTCTGGGTCTGTAACAGGGCATCCTCTGATCCACAGTCAACAAAAACAACAATGACGGAAAAAAAAAAGTTAGAGCTGATGAGAAGAGAGTACCTACTCCAAATCCCTCATTTATAGATGAGAAAACTGAACCCCACAGAAGGTCCAGGATCATGTATTGTAATTATTAAGAGGCAAGGAACCAAGGACTCCCAATTCCTAATTCAAGGGTCCTTCTACTACACTTAATTGCTTGTGTATTTTCATGTTGCAGGCAGTGTCTGGGCTTCTGTTTCTAGCCTGAATGAAGTACATTTTGCTAATCCTCAAGACTGCCTCCAAAAGAACACCACATGCCCATTACGTTAAACCCACTGGGTTTAAATACGAAGGAGAATGGACTAGGTGGATCAGGTTGGCCCCAGGGTTCCCAGTCTCTCAAATTTCGGCTAAAAAATCTGAGATATCAGCTCCAGTGACTGTCATTTCTTCTGCTCCAGTCTCACCTTCCCACTAGCCTGTGGGTCAGGCGAGAAAGAGTGAGAGAAGTGTCTGCTATTCCTTCTAGGACAGGAATGGGGAGGGACACCCAAAAACTCCACAGCGAAAACCACTGTTCACTGACTTATGGAACAAACTGAGGTCACGTCCAAGGGTAAGAACACCTTTCATTTCTATCATGTTTGAAGGCTGACAAGGCAAGAAGTTGTTATTATCGAACCCAGGCCTAGTCCTGCCTCCAATGTGAGTCTAATGAGAGTCTAATGCTCTTTCCATTACACTACACTATTAACTTCCATTTCTGGGTTTCTCCAGGCCCCTTCTGGTGTTCGGTGGCCCCTGTTCCCAGGTGCCGTCAACAGTGCCAGGATCAGTACGCCCCTCCGGAAGATGGGGAACCTGACGCTCGGAAGACGAGGGCGACCACCCGCCCCAAGGCCAAGGCCGGCTCCAGACTCCGTCCAGCGCTCGTACCCCACAGAGCCCCGCCTTTCAGCCTTGAGATCTCCCCCACAGCTGGGCCGAGCGGCCTGATCTCGGACGCCAAGGGCTCCCTCTCCAGCCACGATCTCCAAGATCACTAGATCATTCCTCCCCGGGACCCTCTTCCCCTACCCCTCGCCGTGCTAGGCGTTCGCCCTTCACCTCTCCCCGACCCCGGTGCGCGTCCCACCCGCCGTGACCCTGTGACCTTCCCGCGGCCCCGGCTCCGGGAATGCTCCCGCCGCGCGGCACCACCCCCTTTCAAGCTGGCTCCCCTTCTCCCCCCCTCACTGAGACGTCGGACTAGACCAGAGAGGGGTGAGGCCTCACCGAGCCGCGAGCGCGGAGAAGGGCCCGAGCCGCGGCGCCGCCGACCCGGCATACAGAGGAGGCCGCCATCTTCTTCCCTTCCTTCTCTCAGGCTGGGCGGAGCATGCGCTAAGACGTGCGCGAGATGGACTTCTCCTGCTGGAAGGGCGCATGCGCTTTTTTGGCCTTCTTCTCCTCCTCCGCCCCCCTCCGTTTTTCCTCTCGTTCTCTAGCCCTCTCGCGCGCGCTCTCTCCCTATCTCTCCCTCTCTCCCTCTCCCCCTTTCCTTCTCTCCCCCTTCCCCCTCCTCTCTCTCTCCCTCTCTCTCTCTCTCTCTCTCTCTCTCTCTCTCTCTCTCTCTCTCTCTCTCTCTCTCTCTCTCTCTTTTTCTCCCTCCCCCTCTCTCCCTCTCCTCCTCTTTCCCTCTCCCCCTCCTCACTCCCCCTTCCCCCTCCTCACTCCCCCTTCCCCCTCCTCTCTCTCCCTCTCTCTCTCCCTCTCTCTCTCTCTCTCTTTCTCTCTCTTCTCTCTCTCTCTCTCTCTCTCTCTCTCTCTCGCCGCCTGTCGAAGAACCCCGTGGAGTTCTCGGGCGCTTCTGTCAGTCACTGCCAGCACCTCCCTTCATTCATTCATTCTCAGGGTTCCAAGCCTCCGGAGCTGGAGAGGACAGCAGAGGCCATCCAGCCCATCCAGTAGCCGAACAAGCATCCTCGTATCCCCCACCGAAGGCCCTCTAGCATTAGAGTCCCAGTTAGGGGAGCACTGGCAGCCCATTCCACATGCTCACTCCTTTAGCAAAGATTAAGCCCCCACTGCTTAAATCGTCTTGACTGGGCGGGGCCTTGGGGGGGTGAAAGAGATCAAAGATTGAAAAACAAACAAAGGAACAACTCCTGCCCTCCCCGGGGGATGTAGTAGTGAGGAATGGAATCCTAACCTAGGTCACTTTCATGTGTAATGTGACATGAACGCACCTTGACCCTGGACCGGCAGGCAGCTCTTGCTACCGTCGTTGAGGGGAGCAGCCCTCGTGGAGAAAGGGCCCGACACCCTCTGCAACACCACCACCACTGCCATCACCAACCACAGAGGAGCTGCCAGCCTTCCCGCAGGTAAGCAATCCCCAGGGCCTAGGGAAGAGGAGCCCACCTGCCCTGCCTCCAATGGCCCTGCCTCCAATGGCCCCGCCCCCCCAAATCCATAGCATAGGGAAGCAGCTGACGGTGGACTCGGGGGGGATGCCTCTACAGGTACCACATGCAACCTTCTGACAACCCCAAAAAGAAAGCTGTCACCACCAAAGTCCTTGGCCCTGTCAAATGGCAGGCCCTGTCAACATCAGAAATAAATATCATTTTATATATGAATAAATAAATTTGGTCTGGTGAAGCCCGAGCAGTTCCTTGCTCAGGATATCAAATTCTTAAGATAAAATACAAAGGATTAGAGAGAAAGCTAGATATGTTGAAATACAGTTGTTATATTTACATGTACATATATGTGTGTATGTATATAGATATATATATAGATACACAAGTCCATGGACCTCCAGGTCAAGAACCCCTGCAGAATGTGATCTCCTTGAGAGCAAGAACTATCTTGCTGTTCTATTTGTATCCCAGGGCTTAGCACAGGGCTTTTCACATGGTCAGTCAATTAGTCAATAAACATTTATTAAGCACATCATTTGTGCCAGGCATCATGCTGAGTACGGCCTCGGGATACAAAGAAAGGCAGAAAGACAGTCCCTTCCTTCAAGGAGTTCACTGTCAATGAAAGAGACAACATGTAAACAGCTATGTACCAAAAGTTATATATAAAATAAATTGGAAATAATCAACAGAGGGAAGGCACTAGAATTAAGAGGGATTGGGAAAAGCTTTCTGCAGAAGGCAGGATTTTGTCAGGAGATGGAGATGAGGAGGAAGCACATTCCAAGCATGACAGACAGCCGGAAAATGCCCAGAGATGAGATACAGAATATCTTGTTTTAGGAATGGCTAGGAGGCCATTCTCACAAGATCACAGAGTACAAGGTGATATGGGGGAGAGGGGAGCAGTAGTATGTAAGAGGGCTGGAAAAGGGGTGGGGGGAGCAAGTTATGAGGGCTTTAAAAGCCAAACTTTATTTTTGATCTTAGAGGTGATAGGGAGCCACTGGACTTATTGAGTCCAGAGGGTGGTATGGTCATACTTGCACTTTGGGAAGATCACTTTGATGACAATTTGTGGCAGGGAGACGAACTAGCTAACTATTATAATAGTCCAGGTCTAAGGTGATTGAGACCTGCCTATTGTAATCATTTAATAAATGTTTTTTTTTCATTCAGTCAGTTATCAATTTATTATTAAGCATTAAGTACCTAGTATGTACGTTAGAGAGATACAAAATATTAAGTAATGTCTGAGCATCCAGGGAGTATCAATATGTGGCTGATTTCCAAGGGGACCTTTAGCTCAGTTGGGTCTCTCTGTCTATCTCCTTTTGGGTCACTTTTAGTGTAATGCACAGAATTCTGCACCTGGAGCCAGGAAAATCTAGGTTTGAAACCTGTTTCAAACACATATTAGCTGTGTTGAACCTGAGCAAGTCACTTAACACTTCTGAGCCTCGGTTTCCTCATCTCTAAAATGAGAGGGTTGCACTGGATGACTTCTAAGGTCTCTTCTAGCTTGAATATATGATCCTACAAAGATTGGGCAACTAAAAAGTCATTGGTGACTTTTTAAAAAGTCCTTTCCCCAGAGTGGTGGGTAGTAAACTAGTGGAAATCCAGATTTTGTACAGTAAAGGGGAGGGAAGGTGTGGAAAGAGATGGCAAAGTTTGCAGGATGGAGTAGAAGGGTCAAGGGTAGACATTTTTAGAATTAGGGAAAATACTGCCTTCCTCCATTATTCAGTACATTTCAGCACGTGTAACGTGTCCAGGCCTGTACTCAGTTGCCTCGTTGAAGAAGAAAGAACATGGGGGCCCTGTCCAAAGACACCTCCCAATTCCTACAGTTATTTATTGCCCTGATTCTACCCCACTAACAGCTACACCCAAAGATGGCCATATCTTTGATCTCACCACACCAGCAGGTGCTCCACGTTCACAAATTCCAAAATTCCTTTACCTGATCATAATCTGTTGTCAGCCTTGCCTTTCTGCTCAGCTTTGCAACTCTAAATCCTGTTTTTCACCCTCACCATGATCTCCACCCCCTCTGCCCCCTCAGTTCTTTCCTAGGACATCACCCCTGCATTTCTACTCTTTTCGCTTCCTCATCTTGACTGCCTAGTGAATGAGTGAACACTACTCTGTCCTCTTCTCTTGAGTCCCTTGCCCCCTTTATCCTATCAAGGATCTTGTGCTTCCATACTGCAGCCTTGGATCACTCCCATCATCCTCTGCCTTAGCTCCACTTCAAGTCCACTTCAAGTTTATGGTACGTGATCTCAACCAGGTCCTACCTGCAGCGAGGAAATCTTTTTACACCTCCCTGATTGATTCACTTACCATACTTACCACAGCAGCTTTCCCAAACCTTTTCTTCTCTCCTCAAATTTCCCATAGCTCCTTTTCCCCTATCTTCTCTGCTGAAAACCTTGAGAGAACCATATTTCACTTAAAAAATTGAGGCCATTCACAGAGAGCTCCCTCTTGCCTTCTGCCACCATCTTCTCCTTCACTAGCCTTTCTCCTTGCCAAGGCAAGCCCCTCTATATCCCCAAGGGATCCCATTCTACCCTGTCTTCTCCAGCAGACTGCCCCCCTCTATCTTCCCTATACTTTTCACTAAACTTCAGACTCTCTCTTTCTAGATGCTAATTTCCTATGGCCCAAACATATGCCTGTGTCTCCTCCATCCTCAGACAAACTCTCACTTAATCCATTCATCTGCACTAACTGTTGTCCCATCCTGTCTCTCTTCCCTTTTCTGGGCTAAACTCACTGAAAAGGCCTTCTAAAATATATGTTGCTACTTCCATTCATCTCATTCTAGCAGACAGCTAGGTGTCTAAGTTCCAGCCTGGAGACAGGAAGATTCCTCTTCCTGAGTTCAGATCCAGCCTCAGACACTTACTAGCTATGTGACCCTGGCCAAATCACGTAACCCCGTTTGCCTCAGTTTCCTCATCTGTAAAATGAGCTGGAGAAGGAAATGGCAAGCCACTCCAGTATCCATGCCAAGAAAATCCCAAATGGGGCCACAAAGAATTGGACAGGACTGAACAACAACATATAGACATGCCTACTTCCTTTTATCTCACTCTCAGCATTTTGCAGCCTGGCTTCTGCATTCTTATTCCTAGTCCTCACTGCTCCTTCTTTGTCTCTTTTACTGGATCTTCATCCACAACATGCCCACTAACCATGGGGGTCTTTTAAGCTATGCCTATGCCCTCCTTCCTTTTTCTTCCATACCATTTCACTTGGAGATCTCATCAACTCCCATGGTTTCAATTATTATCTCTACAAAGATGACTCTCAGACCTACCTGACCAGCCCTAAACTCTCTCCCAAATTCCAGTCTCAAATCTCCAGTTGCCTTTTAGACATCACCAAGTGGATGTCCTGTAGGTATCTTAAACTCAGTATGTCCAAAACTGAACTCATTATTTTCCCTCTCAAACCCTCCCTTCTTCCTAACTTTTCTCTTACTGTGGAGGGCATTACAGTTCTCCCAATCAACCAGGCCTGCAACCTAGAGGTTATCCTGGACTCCTCACTCTTTTACTTTCCCCCTATCCCCATCCAATCAGTGGTCAAGTACTACCATTTCTACCTCCATAACACATCTCAATATATACCAGCTTCTTTTTTCTGACACTGCAGCCACCCTGGGGCAGGCCCTTATCACCTAATGCTGGAGTATTTCAGTATTTAATGATTCTGATTCAAGTCTCTTTCCACTCCAAGCCACCCTCCTCTAAGCTGTCAAACTGATCTTACTAAAAAGCACATCTGCCCATATCACCACTCTATTCCATCAACTCCAGTGGTTCCCTATTACCTCCAGGATCAAATAGAAACTATAGCCTCTGTTTGGCTTCTATAGCCCTTCAAAACCTTTCCAAGCTTCCTCCCCTCCCTGGATGGTGACACTGGCTTCCTTACTGTTCCTATAACACAGCCCACACTCC